AGAATTATTTACAAATTTAGTGGAGAGACAGACACATATAGAACTATAAAGCACTGTGAATTATAGCGCTATAATATAAAGGTGGACACAGCAGATCTCAATTAGTGTTTGTCATTATTGACAACAAATTTTTTCATTAAATTTTTTCCATATCTTGACCATTAAGACGATGTCTAGAAATCTATTTAAAACTTTAAAAAATCATGAAATACATTATATAGAGTTTGTACTTAGCCGGGAAAACAGGAGTGGTTAATTATATTTTTCATTTGCTGACAGAATTTTTAAAAGTTTAACTGTAATGATTTTAAAACTTCAAAAATATTCTCACTACTTTTCTCAGGTGAGTTGATATTGTGTTCCTAGCACATTGGTAGCTTAAGAGAAGTTCTTATTCCAAGACTGCAAAGAAGGACAAATCATGCAATGTTAGAGTTTTAAGGGACTTTAGAGATAAATTAACCATTTCAATAGATCATGTCTTAGTCAACTGAGGCTGCTATAATAAAAGACGACACACTGGGTGGCTTAAATAACCAGGAATTCTTTTCCCACATTTCTGAAAGTCTGAAATCAGATGTCAGCACCGTCCGGGTCTGGTCAGGGTGCTCACTGTGGGGCTGCCTTCCCACTGTATCCCCTCACATGGTATAGACAGAGCTCAACTCTTTTGAATCTCTTTTTATAAGGGCACTAATCCCATTTATGAGGGCACCACTCTCGTGACCCAGTTACCTCCCACAGGCTCTACCTCCAAATACCATCACGTTGGAATTAGGGTTTTAACATATGAATTTGGGAGAACCCAGAAATTCAGTCCATAGCAGATCATTTTCTAGTTTTACCAATACGAAGCATTATCCAGACAGACATAAGCCCTGGATTCCCACAGACCCGAGCACATGTACTTCTTCTGAGTGCTTACATACTGGATACAGAACCGAGCTTTTATATGAAATGTTCTTTTTTATTCTTAAAAGAAGCCAAGTGAGGTAGGTGCTATCATGACTCTCTATGAAAGTAATCTGCTCATGATTCAGATGCTATCAAGCTTTAGGAGGGCAATTTGAATCGCAGCAGGCTGATTCTAGAGCACACCCTCTTAATAGTAGGCTGTACTACCTGTGTGGTTGGGGTGTTGTAGAAAACAGTAGGAACTCTGCTTGTTTCACAGACTGTAACTATATTTGCCTGTCATAAATATTTAAGTGAGGCAAGTCAGAAGGGAAGAAAGAATAATTATGACATCCCAGCATCTATTGCTATAGCTACACTTCATGGCAAGACTACATCTTGTGTTCCTCAAGCCAAATTCACTGCCACCGTGGTAATGACTGTGGCTACCAGGTTGGTCTTTAGATCTTTGCCACAGCCTTCACCCATGAAGTACTGTAGAAAATCTTGCTCTCTCATCATGACCAGAGGGAAAGAACATGATGCACATGAACATTTTTAAAAAAATTAGATGAATGTCTAGTCTACCTTCAGTAGTGGGGTGCTTTCTTTTAATTGAAACTCTACTCCTCAAATAACTCTATTCCTTATGAAAACTGACTTGATTTACCAACGCCATCACTTGCGATCGCCATTACAATGCACTGGAACTATCCGAGGTAGGGATGAAAGATTATCAGAGTAGTTTCTATGTTATTTGGACACAATTGAAGCAGCAACTCTGCTGTCTCTGACTTAAATTATTGGGTTTGAAGAACCAGAGAATGTTGATATGGAAATGGTGAATGGAGTCCACTAGATTTATTCAAGACACTGGACAGATATTTTCCTTTTGGAACAATTTAGCAAGACAGCTTGCAATATCACAATGCCAGCTGCATTTGTGCTTTCTAAATAGCTTGGCCAGAAATGGAAAAAAAAAAAAAAAAGAAAAAGAAAAAAGAAAAACCACCCAGAAAAGAGCCGTAAGTATTTCCGAGTGTTAAGTAAATAACTTAGGTTACTTTTTGCACGGAAGACAGTAAATGTGGGAAATTCAAATCTGGCCCCCAGCTGATTTCTGTCCTGGGGTAGTAGATCAGAGAAGAAGCTGAGTACAACCACGTCTCCAAAGGACCAGGCGTTTTATGTATTCTGCCTCTGTTCCTTTCTTTGGCTTTACTTCCTCAAGGTAAATTTGGTTACCTAGTCGTTTATATTCACAGTCCTTCTAGGAGGGAAATATATATCTATAAATTTCACATCACCTTTATATAGCACCTTCTTTTTGAAAGGTGTTGCACAGTGACAGAAGAGCTTGGCTCTTCAGAAACGTCCCTAAGGAAAGGAAAGTACAAACCCTGGGCAAACCATTCTGACCTTCAGATGCTCAACTACTTTCGGTATTCCTCTATTTCTGTCCCCAGTAACGATTTATTAATAAATTCATTCATTTATTTGAAATAACAGTAAACACTCTAAATCTCTGCCTAAATCCAATTAAGTTGACTTATTCCCCTTGTCCCTCTACATGTGTTAGACACATAATTGATGCCTTGTTTTATTTAGCATTTGTCTTTATGTTCATCATGCATGTAAATTCTGTATTTCATTATTATGATATTAGATCATAAAAGTACAGGTGGTTGTTACTTTGAAAGCTTTCTTAGAGCACCTCCCAAAGTGGTCTAGATTACAATGAATGCTGAAATGGCACTATTGTGTCTGTGGTAAAAATATGGAGAGTTCTGTGTGGGATAGCCACAGCATTTTTGGTAAACCTCAGAAGGGATACTTGGCATTGCAAAATCAAGTGCTCTTCTTGACCTAAACCATATACTGGTTTTTCTTGAAATTACTGAAGGGTTAGAACTTTTCTCCATTAACATGGTTGGTAAAGTCACGTTTTCCCCCAAGAGCACAAACGTGCAAATAAAAAAGACTGGTTATAGAAATCCATGTGAGATTTCATTTGAGATTTACCTAGTTGTACCTTTCTTATCTCTTACCTGTTGGTCAAACATGGCTTACACTTATTTTCTTCAAGTTGGCATTTCTTGCATGTGGGGAGTTTCCACAAGAACTTTAGAACTTTTGGAGACAGAGTTTTCAGAAACAAGACAAAACACCCAAACAACCTTTATTCCCTAATAGAACTAGGGCTTTCGAAAAATTAGACTGAGTTCTTGGGACAATTGAGAAGATTAAATGAGAACATTTATGAAAAATATATGGAATAATGCAAGGCACAAAGTAGATCCTCAATAAAAACCAGCTATTATCATCTCCCCCAAATTTCATGGAGCTGGCACCCATAACCCCTTTAGCTCTGGGTGCCATCAGTAGAACCAGAAAGTGATATATGGTGGAGAGGAGATGAAAGAGGTAAAAGTTAAAAAAAAAAAAAAAGATATAATATGTTTGGTGTGGACTGGTCAAAGATATGGGGAAAAGGTAGACAAAGATTAAAAAAAAAAAAACTAAAGAGAAAAGAAAAAAAAGTATGGCTTTTCACTCACAATGATTTTAAAGGCTACTCCAAGGCCCTAGAGATCATCAGCTGCTGGGCTCTTTATCTCAATATTGGCTCTCTGCCATCTCCTTTCCTCATGTTCTAACTTCTAACAAGTGTTTCAGATCATCTAGAAGATTCTACAGATCCAATCCTATAAAATGCGGGTTAAATTTTTCTAGTTTCGTCTAAATAGACAGACATAAACATTGAGTAATGAACTAGTTTATCCCTAAATCTCTAGAAACCCATGATAACATAATTATTTATACAGGAGAATTTTTAAAAATGTCATTCTTTCACCTTTAGAAGGATGTGGTAACTGAATTATCAAAGGCTTTCTTGGTAAGGCACTGTTATCTGCAAGTCATTTCTTTAGAACACTGCAAGAAGCATGCTCCTGGTGGGTAAATAAAGCACTCCGAGAGACTCCTTCACCTCTTCAGGCTTAGGAACATCACTGAGGGCATTAAAGCATAAACTTTCTAAACAATATACCCACAGCCTGAAAAAAGTGCCTTACATTCCCCCCGCCCCCTGTCCCTGCCAGAGGACGGCTTCTGAAATGAGAGAACTCAGAGGTTTCTTATGAGCATGACGGCTGATTGTTATATTGGAAGAGATTGTAGAAGCGGAAATTATGGCAAAATGATTATGTTAAAGTGAGAGAATGGCTTTCTTCTCCCCCATCAGGGGATTAGGATGGTGAAGGAGAGGTGCTCTGTTATGGAGCCACTCTATCCATTCCTCAGCCCCTTGGTTGAAGTTTTAGAAAGATTAGTGTGGTGTGAGACTAGAGGACAACTCAGGAGATTTGGTGGCCTCTGTACTACGTCAAGGGTTTAGACAGAATGGTTCTGAGTGTCAGTTTCTCTTTAGGATGCTGTTCAGTCCATATAGGCAAGATTCCAGTTTGGGGGTTGTAGAATATCTCTGAGCTTGTCAGGCCTGGCAAGATCCTGCTCATCCTGGCATCTTCTGCACTGAGAGATGAGCTTGGACCAAGAGTGACATTATTACCATAGTACTGCAAAGAGCAGATTAATCACCAGGTGCAGTGGATACCTGTTCAGTGAATGAATGACCAGGGACCTCTGAGTGGCCTCATAGGCATCTAACAGTAGCTCCAAAATTTGGGGAGTGGGGGGTGGGAGGAAGCAGGAGTCTCACAGTGGCCTGATGAAAACTCAGCCAGTGTGGAATTGTGCTTACGAATAGATAGTTGGAAAAAAAGTTTTCAGAGTCCTCTGGCAGAGGGGTGAAAAGTTTGAATGAGCTGATTTTTTTTGAGATAATCTTGTTTCTCTCTCTCCTTTTCTTCCTCTTTCTGGTTTCTATCTCTAATCTCTAAGACTTAAAATAGTGTTTTGTAGTTTCTCCCACCCTCTGAGCCAGTGCTTCCTAGTGGAGGAAGTAAATCTGATCTCAGAATGAGCTAAGTCACTACCCACCCAAGGCCTTAGGCCAGCTCTGGAGAAGAGTCACTATTTTGTGTGCAGTACACACAAGTACTGTATGCAGCTCCCATCTAACTGTTGGGGCAGGTCAGGCAGGTCACCCCTTCTGATACCTGAAGAGCGGGGGCTTCCACCTCCTGCACTGCGGGTATCACTGCACATGGTCAGGGCAATGGGACAAAAGGAATCACTCTGGCTCTTCAGGCACCAAGATGAGGAAAATCAACGTCAGGGCCCAAAGGATGGAACTGCTGGGGACAAAAGGTTACTACACATTAACAATCGGTCTTCACAGAAACAATAAATAGATGTTAGAGAATGGAAGAGAGATGACATCTCTTGACCCTAGCTGACAAATCTTTTTCAAGTAGACTCAGAGGACAGGACTTCATTTTCCTTGCACTTATCAATAGCCAAGGCAAGAAAATGAATTGAACAGCACTGAGCAACTTTTATTAAGCTCATATCTTCTATGGGCCAAGCACTAGTTGAGGCGCGAAGCAAAGTTTTGAACAAGTCAGATTTTACATTCCAGTGAGGAGAGCCAAAAAGTAAACATAAACAAGTACACAAATACATTAATAAGAAAATACTCAGTGGTTATAAGTGCTATAATAAACAAAAACAATTAATTAGTTAATTAATAAAATTGTGGTTAAGGGGCTATTTTAATTGTATGGTCAGGAGAGGCCTTTTGAATTAAATGATGCTCGAGCTGAAAATTAATGACAAGGAGAAGCCAGCCAGGCAGAGATCTGGGGAAGGGAATTTTAGGCAGAAGGAACAAATGGGGGACAGACTCTAAAGCAAGAACTACTTTGATGTGTTGGAGAAATGAAGAACGGAGTGACAGGGATTCAGTGAGCAAGAAAATGGGCGGCATGAGATGAGATTCTGGACAGACAATGTTGGGCTGTGTGGACTAGAGATGATTTTGGATGACTTCCAAGTGCGATGATAAGCCAGTAGAAGGTTTTCAGAGGAGTGACATGACCTATTGCAGTTTTCATAAGATCATGCTGGTAGCTCTGGAGGGAGGGAAGTGTATAGGAACAAGAGTAGAAACAGAAATTAGTTAACAGGCTAACAAACTTTAAGAAAAGGATAATGACTTGACTAGGGTGGTAGGAGTGAGACCAAAATAAATAAATAAATAAATAAAGAGATTGGCATGTGGGCAAAAGAGAGAAAGTGCGTTCTAGGATTGCAATTATTTGCTGAGATGGAAGAAATATATTTAGATAGCGTGCTAATCAAGCATCCAGTTGGATATTGGAATTTTGGAATACCTTTCAGATCTCCAAGTAGATGTAAGTCGTCAGTCTGAATATGGAGTATCGGGGAAAAGTCAGTCTTGAGATATTAATTTGGGAATCATTGGCATACAGAGATATTTAAATAAAAACCCCCAAAACATTGTGTCTAGTTCAGCTCAACTGTATCTACCCCAAATCAACACTTGGGAAACTAAGTATAGTAAGTGCTATGGATAAAGAGATCAGAAAGACATAACCCCAGAGGGAGAAGCAGACCAAAATACGATTGTTAGAATGCAATGGTAAAACAGAGGTAGGTATAAATATAAAGGAAGCTATTATGGAACAAGTAATGATGCCTGGATAGCAGAGGCAAGAGGCAAGTCATTTGATAGGAACACTTTTCTTGTGAGCTTCTTGTTTTTAATATGGGTGCTTACTTAGAGACCAAGAAAGTAGATGGGATTGGATGTAGAAGTGTTATATGAACAAAGGAAAATTCCATTTTTAACTGCTTTTTGATCTTGGAGAAGGAAATGATCACTCTAGGACTTAACATTCTCCTCTGTGAAAAGAGCAGTTTGAGTTTGAGAGGTAGTTTTCTGCCTCAAGGAAATAGTAAGATAAATAATCAAGATCCATAAGTTATTTTTTAATCTATTTAAAGGTTATATCATATTATCATATATATTTAAATATATTGTAGCTTAATCTATACATATATAAATTTTTGTAAGTATAAATATATATAAAAAGCTAGTAGAAGTAAAATATTTGGCCTTGATAAGATTATACAGTTTGCCAAAAATATCAAATTCTTAGTTTTAAATTTAGTTATATCAACTTAGTGAAGCAAAATCATTAACATCTTGTTGAACACAAGTTCTAATTGATTGTGGTTAATAAAGAAGAAAAAGAAAAAACAAAAATAATTAATGGCAAATTAATGCAGTTTCATAGACAAAATATTTCCAACCATAGAGTACATTGGGGGAAAGTGATAAAAAGCATATTCGGTGGTGCACTTTTCATGCTTTTCTGGCTGGATGAATAATAGAGTCAATGTCAGCTCTAATTGGTATGCTCGTATAAGTTGATGACTTTTTCTTTTCTCTTTTAGCTACACTAACTGCTCGACTTCTTTATCATCTATTTATACTCTTGTAAAATTAAAAAAAAATTGTTTTCTGGAAATTAATTTCTTATGAAATTCTTAATATGAAGCAATGCAATTCTTGCAAGTCACTCTGTAATTTACTACAACATTGGCTAAGTAGTCCTGGAATGTCCTTAACTTTTTTCATCTTACTTGGTTAAACCATTTATTCCCAGAGAATTATTTATTAACCTCAGAAGCAGGTCAGAACAATGTTTTGTATTTCTGTAGTATTTATTTTCAGAATTGTATTTTAAAGAATCAACTTAGTGATATGTAAACTGACTCCATGAAGTGGATACGAGAAGACATTACACTTTTATAAAAATAGAGGCTAAGGTGGGTGGGTGGCCATGAGATACTTCTGGGCCTTTGGGCATAGGGGGCCCAGGCCTACATTATTGAAGGTGAGTGATGCTTGGCCACGGATATCGGTTAATATATAGGCTAAATCCATATTTGAGAAATCAACAAAGCAGGGTCACCAAAATTTTTTATAATAAGGATATATTTTTGACATATATTGTTTAAAGTATGTAAATAAATATTTAAAAAAATATCAGTTCTTTGTTGAACTTCTTTAAGGTGATTTAAGATTTTGTATTGCTTAGTTTTAAATTACTTATGGTGAGGAGGCACCATGTTCTTTTCACTGCTAAGAGTGTTCAAAGGTTTACATTTGACTTTAAACATCATGATGGTCTAGATACATGCCATGCGTTGGCCTCCTTTTCCTGACTGGGTTGGTTTCAGGATTGTTTGTAATGCTGAGGAGTTGAATGCATTTAGTCGGATGCATTCAACTGCTCATGTGCCAAATCCACTGTGTGATATTTCCACTGTGCTCGTGTGCCAAATCCACTGTGTGATATTTCCACGTCTCTCCAAGACCACCTAGGAGAAAGACCAAAAGTCTTCACATGGAGAATATAGTCACAGAATGATCATGTGTTGATTTAATCTGCATGGAGCTACCATAAAGTTGGAATGTATAATAGAAGTCTGAGACTAAATAAGAAATGCGTTGGAGTAATACTCTAAAACAAAGGAACAGGTAAAAGGACAATCAGTCCCTCCTTCAGGTGCGGTTTTGTCTAGCCCTTATTTTTGGGCTTCCCAAGGACTTTAGTGGTGGGAGAATGTCTCTCTGACTTATGCTGGATTCAGTAACCTGCTGTCTGGTGCTGAATATATTCTGCCTTGTCAGTCATACTGAGCTAGTGATTCTTATGGGGAGCAAATGAGTTGTCCCAAGGTACACGAAAAGCTACGGATAAAAGAAGACAACTATGCCTTTTAAAATCCCAAGTCACTTTTTATACTGTTGAAATTTTCCCGGGCTACTTTATCCACTGCTATTGTAGTCCCTAAGTTTCCAGGGCCATTAAACTTATGTTGAAAACATATGTTTTCATGTTTAGTCAAAATGCTTAAGAATATTTAGGAATTCATGTGTTTCCAGAAAATGTGTTCATTTTCTTCCTGACTATTCTATATATTAAAATTTTAGTGGTAAATTAAAAGTTGCCAACTTCTTAAACCATACAAGAATCCATTTCCCGTACTAGTCAGTGATGTATGAATAATGTCTGATGTAAGACTTGCCTTTGGTGTAACTTTGATCACCCAATTCAAAAATTTATATATGATTGAAGAAGATCCAGTAAAGCCAAAGATTAAAATTTATGTGGTTAAGTTTTCAGAGTTAATAATGAAAAAATTAATTTTGTCATAATCTTTTGGCTAATATGATCAACAAGGAGGTATATTTAAGCCATTTTTCTTTTTCACTGATACTTCCTATATAAATCCCCGAATTAAAAAAGTAATATTTATATGAAATTTGTTTTTTTTTATGAAATGCATAATACATTTGTGTTTTGTTTTAACAACTTAACAATTTAAATGACTTTATAATGAATATCAATTATACTTTGAGGACTATTTATTTGGGTTTTTAGGTTATTCACTCCTATGCAAAATGGCTCCAGGCTACCATGGTTTTTAAAAATTTTGGGTCAGTATTTGGCAAGTTTTCAGAAGTCATTTTTATTGTTTTGAAGACAACTGGCTCTAGCAACCTGTCCCAATCATCAATTTTATTGCTTTGATTCTTCTAGAGGCTATGAAACCATATAACTTGGCTTGTTAAGTGTCCCTGAAGTGCATTATTCTTGTAAATAAATAGGCTTAGAGTTAGCTACTGAGAATTTCTCTTAGAATGCACAGATGAGATTGCCAGTTACTTTGTCTTTTATTTTCAGAGATCCGTTCGATTTACTTCTGGTTTCTCTGTTCTGTTCCAGATGATTGAGTTCACCCAAGGCCTGCCTGCCTGATAATTTGGTAGGTATAGCATGGTGCATTGGTGAGGCCAGGAGCTCTGGAGCAGATCTCAGTTGAAATTCAGGCTCTGTCATCATCCTGCTGTGTGACATCGGGCAAGTTATTTTACCTCCCAAACTTTAGTTTCATCAGCTAGAAAATGAGAATGAAAATAAACACTCCCCAGAATTATCGTGAGGATAAAATGAGGTGTGTGGTATGATAATAGCTAATATTTATAGAGCATTTATTATGTGCCAGGTATGTAGTTAGCACTCAGAAATGATAACTCGTTTAGACATACCTGGCTTTGTGCCCTGACTAGTTGGACCTTACACAATTAATCCACTGACATCCTCATACTCTTATTTTCAAATGCCATAGAAAATGACAAGAAGGTAGAAAGGAATGAATCAGAAAGAATCTGCTATGTATAGCCACTGGGTTCATTTTACTTACACTGTATCATCTAATTATCTTAGCAAGCCTTTGAAATAGGACTTATTATCCTCAT